ATTGTGGAGAGGACGAATCTGTCTTAAGGACACAGTGTCAAACACTGGACTTGATCAGATTATAATTCGAAGAAATTAAATCAAGTAAGTTATTTAATTTATTTTCAGTGTTTTATTATTTATTTAAATCAGATTTTAATTTTGTTTTTGTAACAAAATAAAATCTGTTTTTATTTATTTATTTTTATTTTTATTTCGAGTTTGATTTTTGTAATCAAACAAATTCTCTCATTTCCTTTATTTCTTTTTATTCTGATTGTTGTTTAGTACACAACATAATTTAATTAATTTAAATACAGTGAAGATTGTCCTACACCAGTGTCCATGCAAAAACTAATTTCTGTACTATTATCAGGATTAAGTGGTCGGCAAACATGTGTCTGTCCAGAATCTCCAGGGAGACGAAAAACAATGCTATGCGGATCCCCAATACCAACCTGCAGTCACAATAAAGAGTACACAATCATTTCAGTATCAACACAAAACAATGGACAACAAACAATAACAAAGACATTGAAATAAAAATAAAAATAATACCCTAGATATAAAATCAGACACCAATGCCATAAAACTATTCCCATCATCCAAACCACACATGGGGACTAGTGTCCATACTGCCTGGACAATTTGATTGTCACAACACCAATAGTTATCTCCATAAGTATCTTCTGTGTTGTTTTTCCTCTGCAAAATATCCCCCATGACTAATTTCTTGTGTAATGCTTTGAGACTGCAAGAACAAAATAAGAGGGTCGTCCAGCAAGGAATAGAAAGTCACTCAATAAGTTCTAAGATTCACAACCAGGTTTTTATTTTGAGACACATTTAGATCATCATATGCCAAATTGATATGGTTCAACAACATTTTGGTGCAAACCAATTCTTTTAAAAGTTAGCCATAGCATCTTCCTAAGTTTAAATAACAAAAGCACAATATAATTTCACAACATTCAAAATTTGCGACATCATTTACTGCACACTTTGAATATTACAATGAATATGGAACAGATATGGTGATTAGCAAGGAGTGAAAAGCATATGTTAATATCTGCAATTAAAGGAAAAAAAAAAGTGTTCATAAAGTTTAAATAACAAAAGCACAATATAATTTCACAACATTCAAAATTTGCGACATCATTTACTGCACACTTTGAATATTACAATGAATATGGAACAGATATGGTGATTAGCAAGGAGTGAAAAGCATATGTTAATATCTGCAATTAAAGGAAAAAAAAAAAGTGTTCATATCCAATCCTAAACACAAGTTCCATATTGTTAAATTTGCCAATGATATATGTATCAGCTTGAGGAAATTAACCTTACTTTCATATACATTTTGCAACATATATATACACATACAGGATAACAACTATTTGTTTGAAATCCTAAAATGTAGAACAGTTTGAAACTGTTTCCTAACTCTAAGGTACAAGTGTTTCAAATGAATTCAAAATAAAGAAACTTAAGGACTGTTACAATCTGTTACAATCCTGTGATATGCCCCCTCAAGATGGAGCGCGGGAGAGAAGTCCAATCTTGGATTTGAGATCAAGAAAACGAATACGGTGAAGAGGTTTAGTCAGGGCATCGACAAGTTGATCTGCGGAGGATACATGAGCAACCCGAAGGACACCATTTTGTACTTGGTCTCTGATGAAGTGATAATCGATGGCAACATGTTTCATTCGAGAGTGGAACACAGGATTGGAGCAGAGTTGGGTAGCACCAACATTATCACAATATAAAACGGGACAGCAAGGTAGTTGAACACCAAGATCAGTGAGAAGATAGCAAAGCCAGTTGAGCTCAGCTGCCGCATTAGCGACTGACCGGTATTCCGCTTCAGTGGAAGATTGTGTAACAGTTTTTTGTTTCTTAGAACTCCAGGAGACTGGATGACAACCAAGATAGATAACGTAAGCACTGGTTGATAAAAAATCATTCTTGTCACCTGCCCAATCGGCGTCGGCATAGGCGTGTAAAGTCAATGGGAACCGGCGATGTAATTGGAGGCCGTCATTAATAGTTCCACATAGATAGCGTAAGAGACGTTTAACAAAGTTCCAATGATCGGTTGCTGGAGTGTGCATGTACTGGGAGAGCCTGTTAACCGCAAAGGCAAGATCTGGTCAGGTAATCAAGAGATATTGAAGGCTGCCAACAACTGTTCTGTACTCGGTAGGATCAGACAAAGCAGAGCCTGATTTGAACAAAGGTGGGCTAGTTGGAATGGGAGTGAGCATAGGTTTGGCATCAGTCATATGAGTTCTGGCTGGAATATCCAAAATATAATGCCTTTGAGATAATAAAATCCCTTGTTGATTTGGGATGACCTCCACACCCAAAAAATAGGAGAGCTGGCCAAGATCCTTAATTGAAAACCGATGAGCAAGAACATCAACAAATGAGTTGATCATCTGAGTGTTGTCTCCAGTGATGATTAAGTCATCCACATAGACAAGGATATACAGTCTATTTGCTAGCTAAATGAGGAAAAAATAGGAAGCACCTGCACAGAAGTAATCTTGGTGGGAGGTAGCAAGATCTCTTCACAAACTGCAAATGAACATATAGTGCATCCCAACCCAGAGAAAAAGAGAGAGAGAGAGTAAGTATAGTGGAACAAATAACCAAACAACTAACCAATCATCTGAACATCTCGAACATTATTTAACTCTTAACATAAACCGCTAGGAAGTGTTCCTTCGGTGAATAGCCTTGACATAATCGATGGTGAAACTTCCGTATTCCATCAAATACATTTAATTCAGGGAACGGTTTTCCTACTTCTACGCCTAGAACTCCTGCTCTTCCTCTTCCTCCTTGACCGTGAATCATCCGAATCAGCATCTGAAACAAATTGAGACGGAGAGAGAGAGAGAGAGAGAGAGAGAGAGACGTAAGAAGAGATTAGGGATTTTGAGATTGGAGATTTTGGTTCAAGAGATTGGGGATTTTGGGTTTGGGTTTGGGTTTGGGGTGGGGGGAAACTCGAGCGGGAATGGAAAAAGGGGGGAAAGAGATTAGGGATTTTTGAGATTGGGGATTTTGGGTTTGGAATGGGGGAAACCCGAGCGGGAATGGAAAGGGGGGGCGGGAATGGAGATTTTTTTGGAATTTTTTATTTTTTATTATTTTTTTATTTTCATTACAAATAAATATTTAAATAATATAACGACTCTTTTTTTCGCAACGGAGGATGCCGTTGTCAAAAAAATGATTTTTTATTAAAATATTTTTTTTATAGTTAATGAATTTTTTTTTTTCATTTAGTAAGGCTGAAAATTTATATTCACTCAAAAAAGGTAGAAAATTTATTTGTATCATATTTATTTTAATGAATAAATTTTTTTTTTATTTGGTAGAAGTAGGGATAATATTTTCCATTAAAATAAAATTAATTTTTTGTGATCAATGAAAAATATTTTTTTCCAACCCTTTTTTTTTTGTTACTAAAAACCAAGAATTAATTTTTTGTGGTAGAGGATAGGAAGTGGCAGTAGTGGTGAAGGTGGTGGATAAGAGGTGATAGTAGTGGTGGTAGTGATGGTGAAGGAGATGAGTGGTGAAGTTATGGTAGTGGTAGTGGTAGTGGTAGAGGAGATAGAGTAGCAGTGGTGGAGGAGAGGTAATGGTAGTAGTAGTGGTGGTAGTGGAGTGGTAGCGATGGTGGTAGTAATGATAGTTGTAGAGGTGGAGTGACAACAGTGGTAGTAGTGATAGTAGTGGAATGGCATTTACAATAGTGGTGAATGTAGTAGAGAAGATGGGTGGTGAGAGAGAGATGAGCGAAAGAGACAAAGAAAGAAAAGAGATGAGAGAAGAGATAGATGAATGAGAGACACGGAGAGAGAGAGAGAGAGAGAGAGAGAGAGAGAAATAGACAGACAGAGAGAGAAGAGTGATGAATGAGAGAGAGAAAGAAAAGAGAGAGAAGATGATGAAAAAATAGGTGAAAAGATATAGACAAAGAGAGAGAGAGAGAGAGAGAGAAAAAAAAAAGAGCGAAAAGAGATAAACGAGAAAGAGACAAAAAGAGATAAGCGAGAGAGCGAGAGAGAAAAAAATGAGAGACAGAGAGAGAAGATAGATGAAAGAGCTAGAGAAAAGAGAGATGTACGAGAGACACAGAAAAAGATAGAGAGAGACAGACAGACAGACAGAGAAGAGTGATGAGTGAGAGAGAGAAAGAGAAGAGAGACAGAGACATAGAGAGAAAGAGAGAGACGGACAGACAGAGAAGAGTGACGAGTGAGAGAGAGAGAGAAGAGAGAGACAAAGACACATAGAGAAAGGGAGAGACAGACAAACAGAGAAGAGTGATGAGTAAGAGAGAGAAAAAGAAGAGAGACAAAGACAGAGAGATATGAAGATGAAAAAATGGGTGAAAAGAGAAATGTTCAAAAGAGTAAGACGATGTCGTTTTTTTTTTTTAATTTTTTTTTGTGATAGAAAAATACCGTTGCATTTATTTAAACCATTTTGTGACTATATATATATGAAGCCGTCTCAAAGCCACAATATATATATATATATTTTTCTTTTTTGCAACGATACCTATTAAAGTCGTTTTTTTTTTTTTTTTTTTTGCGACAGCAGCTTGTACCATCGCAAAAACTCTATTTTTTCGCGACAGCAATATCTACCGTTGCAAATACTCTTTTTTTTTTTTTTTTGCGACCGCATTTTATGCCGTTGCAAATATTCTATTTTTTGCGACGGCAAGTTGTGCCGTCTCAAAAAATCATATTTTTTGCGACGGCAAGTTGTATCGTCACAAAAAGTCATTTTTTGAGATGGCAAATGTGCCGTCACAAAAAGTTCCATCTCATAAGCCCAGTTTTCTTGTAGTGGATCTTTATCGATGATCTTGTTTGTAGAGAAATAGAGCCCGATTGAAAGACGAGGAAATACTCTTAACACTCAATGGGGCATATCTTGCAAAATTTGTTGGTCTACTAATAAGTTATGTTTTAAGGATGCAATGCTGGTTATGAAGAACTTTCAAGAATTTAATTTGCAAGTCTTTTTAGCCTTCTAAATTTCTTGATGCAAGAATAGCATCTAACACCTCTTTCTTCTTTTCTTAAGAATAGATGCAAATGGAGCGAAGCTAATGTTTTGTACAAGGATGATAGCAAGATTTGTTCCTAAAATTGGTTCAACAAGAATGTGGTTTCCCATTACTTGTTTCCCTTCCTATGAGATTAGGAGAAAGTATTTTATATAAGGGGTATACCATGTGGCCAAGTTGATGTGATGCACCCTTTTACTTATTATTTGTCATGTAGTAAAAAGTAACTAGACAAACAATGGGTGAAAAGGTACACAACATCAGCTCAGCCACGTAGTGTAGCTGTTACATAAAATACTTTTTCATGAGATTAGGCAGTTAAATGTGTGGGATGAAGACTTTCTTTTGGTGCTAAGTCCATTGGAGTGAAGGGGGAGGCTATCAAGAAGATGCCTCAATGTGTATGTTGTCTAATCAGAAGTTATTCTACTTGTTAATCATGATTGGTCTAATGCATGCCTTGTGAAAGGTAACATCAAAGTGGCTGGCACATTGGTCTGGTAGTTACATGGATTAATTTTTCTTACTTTTATGAAGTTTGAAATTATTTGGTGTCTCATGCAACAATGTTGCATGGGTTATTTACCCCATTAATTGATGTGGCTCCCACTCCCAATGGTATAGGGTCCATACCAATTAATGGTGTGGATGGCCTTTGCGGCATTGTCGCATGTGGCATTGAATAAGTGCTTTATTAAGTCTCTCTCCATCTCTCTCTTATGCACACACATGGTGGTTTAGAAATCGTTGTGCAGTAACATCAATTATTAAGATGCTAAATCCTGTTAAATGTTGATCCAAGTGTAACTAATGGATTCATTAGTTTCAAAGACAAGAAAACCTTT